TTGATTTTTGTCTAACTTTTGGGGTGCATGTATTGAGCTAAAGCCGTGTATATCTGGAGAGACTGCATGTGCCATGCAGCTTTCAAAATGGCTGCCACTTGTGTGGCTCAGCAGACTGAAAGGGTGGAGTTCTGTGTTAATCCTCTCATGGCTGTAGCTAGTGGCTGAGCACCCTAGCTTATGCCTGAAGCAGTAAATGAGCTGCTGGGCTTGTGATATAGAAAAAAACAGTTTATTTTCAGGAACTTCTATAAAGAACTACTAACTGTAAAGAACTAAGTCTTGCTCCTGCTCTTGCAAGGACCTGGGACCTAAGTTTGTGTGACATCGAGTAAACCCTCTTGGGAACATAGAGTGTTTGGTAATCGTGGCATCCCAGGGAGACAGTCTAGGGGAGGCAGCAAGCAGCAGGAATGTCCTGCCACACTAGAAAGTTCCTAAGAAGTACCACACTTCCCAGGCACTCTGTTTTTAGGAGTGCTTATTCTGGCACTCAGTCGGCCATGACTCTGAAAAAAAATCTTTTTTTCTACATTCTGTTTTATAAAAACAAAGTGTATGCCTTACTTTGGGACATGTTGTATAGTAGAACATATGATACTATTTTTTATAACCAGTGATTCATAGTTTTAGGGTTTATGAAAAGTCTTTTGTTCTATAATGCCAGTGAAATGACTTTGTTCTTTGGTCAAAACAGTAAGAAGAGCTAAATTATAGATTGTATTCATGTGCTAAACAACACTATTGTTTTGTTCTCTAGTTTCTGGGGTGCACAGAGAAGAACAGGACAGCCATGTTCCGAAACAGTCTCAAGATGCTTCTTACAGGCGGGAAATCAAACCGCAAAAACAGATCCAGTGGTAAGTAAATGTTGACTCCTCATGTGAATACTTATCTACATATTTGATTAAAGAAAAAAAAGTACCTTTAACTTTTTGTTGTATTAAGCTTCACTCTTGTTGTTCTTACTAACAACTGTGTACTGAATTTGTTTAATTGAAAGATGTTGATCCTACATGGTCTTCTAGATTCAAAACATCATTATAGAACATTATAACACTTATTAACTCTCTCATATTAAAAGAAGAAAAATAATTAAATTTAGAAAAAAGTACTATATAGAAGACAAGAGGACTAAACAGTAGGGATAGAGATTTTTTGGGCTGATACTGATGGCTGATTTTTAAGGAACCATATTGGCCGATACTGATTTGATTACCGATATGCGGCCTGGCAGTTTAGAGACCAGCATCTGGCTGATAAGTCTATTGAGGGGGGAGAGAAGGGGTGTGTGGGGGGCAGATCGAGGCCCCCACAGTGAGGGAGGGAGTGGGGCTGGGGCAGGGGCAGGCACTGCCCAGCTGGGGTGGGGTGGGATGTGGGGTAGGGGCAGGTGCTGCTCAGCTGGGGCATCCACTGCTACGTACACTCCGGGAGGGTATGGGTGGCCGTGTGCTTCCGGATCTGTGTGCGGGGCAAGGGTGGGCTGCTGATGTAAGCTGGGGTGGGGCCGGTGCCGGGCTCTTCCTGGTGGAGGGGCTGGACCAAGCTGCACTCGGGGCAGGCAACAGTGGCTGCACTGGGAGTGGGGGCTATGGCAAATTATGGGGTGGCCACAGCTTCCCCCCGTCCCTGGGTCCCCCCCCTTCCCGGTGCTGCCACCACCTGCCCTAAGGGTAGTCCTGGCTCAACACCCCCCCCCCCCCCCCCCC